TTCACTTGCACTTGAAGCATTCTGACTTCCTTCCCTCACTCTTTGGATTGGCTCAGATTTGCCTAGGGCTATTGGATTTGTTGTGACCCTTATCAAATAGGGTGAGCATGGCTTTGGCTTGCCTCTTTGTCCAGTTCTCATTTGTCCTCTAATTGATTATGGTTATGAATACCAAATAAATGTCATTACCGAATGGCCTTATTTCACTTTGTGGGTGCATTTGGAGTTTTGGAGCATCTTCTCAATGTCTGGAGCTGACTACCTAATAGAGTACTACCTTAGGATAATCTGACCTTGTCTAGACTCAGAGTCTAAATTACTGTATTTACAGAGTGCCTTTTCAGGTTGAAGTTGAAAAGCAACTGGGTTCTCACTGGGACCCTGACTAAGAGACCTGAGTATTAGAGTTCGCATTTTCGATGTATCCCTTGCTGCATACCAGCTAAAATGGCCTTGATGTATAATTTTCATTAGATTTCTCTGCCCCTTGTATTATAGTCACACTCAGGCCACTCTTGCAATGCAAATAATGCAACAATTGGCTGGTTTTCAGAGGTTGAAGCTGCCAAGGTTTCATCATTGATCCTTGGGATCTAGCAGTCATGTCCCTGGGTTAGTCCCCATTAGTAGGAACCCAACAGGGACGCTCTTGCAAATGATATCCTGCTCTCCCTTAGTAGAACTGAACCTTTTAGGGCTGGACTTCTCCAGCTTTAGGTGAGCACCAGAGCGACTTCCTTCGGACCTACTGGATTTCCCCCTATAAATACAACTCATCTCCCAGTTGAAGTGCCCAGAATTGGGATGCTTCACCGACTGGATGCCCCTAGGCAATTAAAAAAATAGTAAGACCATCCTTAGAAAAAAAAAATCAAATAGCTAGATCAAGCCACAAAGCATACACATCTGGTGACAAAAATCTCACAATTGAGACACTACATAAATTCAATCAGCAGGTTCAGGTTACATAGCCTTTCAGATAGCAGCATGAGGTTTAAGCCATAATAATCACAACAAAACAAATTTGAGCAAAAATAAGAACAAACCCTTATCAGGAAATTATCCCAGAAAGTAACAGGTTTAGCTAGGGTTTTAGGAACTTGCCAGAGCAGATAGATGAGTCAGCTAGCCGGTTTGGCTGCTCCCGCCCCCAGCCACTGCCTGCCACCAGCTTGGGCATGCCAAACAGTGGCAGGAAGTTTAAAGAGACCAATTCTCTCTTTCCATGTGGGAAGACACTGCACCTGCTAACTGTGTTTTTCTGAGTTATTTAGAACCCACAACTAAACAAGTGGAGCACTCTCTGATACCTGAAATCCTGAGTGGAGAGAGAATCAAAAAGGAGGGAAAATTACTAAAACCTATGGAAAAGAAGTACTCAGTATGAGTCCATGACCCACATTTAAGCACAAACACCCTTGATTCTAAACACAAAGAGCTGCGCAAGTCTAGGGTAGTTACCAAGTATTCCACGGAGAACAGCAACACTTCAACAGGCCAGGTCCAGTATCCTGCTCCCATGCTGTGGGCAGCTCTACCAAAATCATAGGGCAAGAGCGACTCCATTTTGCTGTTTTTAACTCCATATTAAGAGAAATCTCTTACAGTTCACTTGAACTGTAGTTCACCCCAGTCACCTTGGTTAGTTATTAACTCAGAGCAGAGTCATAAAATGGGAACAAAACGAACAGGACAAATTTGGAAATGGAATAAATGTTAAACTGCAATGGTCATTTGGAATTTGGTTGTCTGACCTTCTGGGCAAAGTAAACTTTGTGGTATTTGTGTGACACTATTGTAAGATTCCCAAAAATGAGGTAATGGTTACCATAGAAACCCAAAACATACTTAAACTGAAGGTGAGACCCAGACAGGCATGGACATCTTCTCTGGCTCCTGGTTAGAGAGTGTCCATCAGCTGGCTCAAATAAAGCTTTGTTCCTTCCTGCCTTTTTGTTTTTCTTATGAATGCCTTTCT